CTAGCCTTGTGACTTTTATCTTAGTCTGAACATCTGAGCTGAGCTGTAGAAATCAATAGCGCTTTTCAGCAAATTCAACCCGTTCACAAAATACACATTTATGAAGCCATTCACATCCAAGATGCTAGACAGCAATAAAAGAGAAATACTTGACCTTTTGGGCACTCAACACTGTTACCCATTTTCAATAAGAGTTTGTATTTCATTCAGTTTTATAAGTAATGACACATTCATCCTTCTGGGAAATGCTCTTTTCACTTTGTTCTGATGGGGAAGGTCAAGTCAGTGTCACTTAAGCCTTTCAAACGTTACTGCTTATCACCTTGAGGCTTCAATGAATAGTTTTTTCTCACGTAGTATACTACCTGTAGTTGCTGCTCCTTGAACATGTCGGGTTTTGGGGCATTGAGGATGTCATCAGCAAGCTGAGCTTGACTGTCAATGTTAACTGGTGTTGTAGCTTTACTGGACAGGAAGGTGTTGTAGATCTCCCTGGCTCGTTGAGAGAGCTGGAACAAAGGCCAGCAGAAATTGAGAGAGGTGATTAACACATAACTTCATCCCTCATTATTACTAAAGAAAAATCCTGGATGGATGTGTGTCATCGGATAATAACATGAATTGAATAGAATAGAATAGAATTCAACTTTATTGTCATTGCACATGTCACAGGTACAGGGCAACGAAATGCAGTTTGCATCCATCCAGAAGTGCTTTAGTGATATAGATATATTACAATATATATTAGCAATAATATAGATATGTAAGTATATTACAGAAATGGGTCTATTATGGTATGTTATAATGTACACGGTATGAAGTATGCTACCTGTTTGTTGTCGTTCTCAGGGACATGGCTGAAGAATTCGCACGCTTGCCAGAACAGGATATTCTCTTCACTGAACTCTTTCTTTAGGAACTCCTTTAGCAAAGGAATAAAAATGGCAATGATTTAGAAAAGTTTGATCAGACAGAGATGCAGTCAGAAGACACAAGTACCTACACAACAATAAAGCAGGTTTAGAGGTAGTGCAATTATCAACTTCTGATGTGCAGCCTGTCAGCAACTGGTTATCGCCACGGATGATTCGTTTTGCTTTTAGATTTCAGAAAATGATTTGTGTGAGGCAGATTTAACAGCGATAGAAACCAAAACAATATACATATATATGTATAGACAATACATGCAATGCAGTATACAATATAAATGTGTCAGGTAATATGTTTGTACCTTTAACTTTTATTTCTGCAGAAACACGTTTAAAAAAATCCAACCTTTAAATAATGCTTTAGCTGATCTTCTAGAATAAAAGGATTTTTAAGCTGGTCATTACAGTGCTGTAGAGTACATTTCAGTCTTTTGACAATATATGATACTGCTGACACAAAAAAAACTACCCTGCACTTTTCAGAACACCGTTAGAAAGAGTTGCTTAAAGTCATTTATCTGTCATGAGTATGCGCAGGCCAACACCAGCCAGACGTTGTTATAGTACCGAGAAGTAGCGGACCCCCACGGGGTCCTGCAGCAGTCTCTCAAAGCACACGGCCCAGCTGGCCACTCTCCTCTCAGTGTGGCGCCGGTGGCTCTGGACACTAGGCAGGCTGGCATTACTGTTGAGGCTGTTGTCGCTGCTGCAGCCCTGCAGCTCCACGCTGTTCAGCTCTGTTCAAACACACACACACACGCATGTCAAGTGAGTCGAGTTAATTATTATTATTGATGAAGTTCATTTAGGCTATATGGTCCAGATTATTCTAGTTATAATATACAGCTCTTCTTTTTTTCTCAGCCTGTTTTCTTCTGATTGCTGGGGCTTTTGAGTACCTGAAGGCAGGCCTATCAGCAGCATGGGACTTACCAGGGAAACAGTGTCCCAGGAGACAGTCCAGTGAGACTTTCTCGTCCCACAGACATACCTGCTGTGGATTTCCATTGTTTTGTTTTTTTGCTTTTTAACTCTCAAGAGTGTTATTGAGCAAACTTTCATCAGTGCAGTCGCAACAAATCGGATACAAACTATGTGATTGATTATGGTACATCAGATTTTTTTCTCCAGATGATTTGTTGTAAATAAACGTCCCTCCTAAGTCCCTTTAACCCAGTGTTTCATAAATAACCAAAACAATAAAATATAACTAGTTTGATACAGTGAAGGTCTAAGATCATATAAAACGACACTTTTACACTCAAATGTAAATTACCTTACAGCAAATATCAGCAAATTCATCACATGAACATTTTTTGTAATTTAGTTGATGACAAATGATGCAGTCATCTAAGATTCTGTATCAGGTGATACTGCGATTTACAAAGTTCACATCAAAGTGAATTTCCACAGAAAAACAATTCATGAATACAATGAAAAAAAATACGCACTTCCTCTTTTCCTAAGGTCAAATCTGCATGTAGCCACGCTTCACTTGTTATCTTTGTGTAACAATTATATTTCCTTATCCAGATCATATACTTGAGAAGA